ACTCCAATATCGTGCATTTCTCGTTCTCCGGTTTCAAACTATACCAAAAGGTTGCACCAGTTTTAGTTGTCCAAATTATACACACCGCCTGGATGGCGCAAACCGCCACCCCATTAAAAAAGTTCAGCCGTATTCGTCCATCGACCCATTCGTCTATCTCTTCCACATTGCAGCGGCTCAGAAGTACCGCTTTTTTTTTCTTTTAATTTCAAATATGCACCCGCCTCATTAATACATTTTTCCCGCCATGATATCTTCTTAAGCTCCCAACACATTGACGAACGATTCCCTTAGTCCGCTGGTAACCATGAAACAAATTTCTACTTTCAAGTCTCCTCCATTAAAGGGGCCCTGCAAGGACTTTTCTTACCTGTTTTTAATTTGCACCGAACCTGAGCGAACTAAACGTTGTAACTTAATGAAACTTATCTTTTCTCGAATTTCGATTTGTTTTAAAAGATATAGGCAAACTAAAATTACAAAAACGAGCAAAAAATAACCTCCTTCATGACGTCCTTGGTCGCTTGGGTGGCCGTGAACTAGAGGAGGGGTAGTGAGCTCAGCGAGCGCTCACGGCTCCCGCACTCTCGTGTCGACAGCCTGAGAGGGCGCCACTAAAGCATGTTTTGGATAGGTTGTATGAAGCGGGCGGCCAGGGCGGCTCGCATTGCATTTTCTGCGCGATTAAACACCAACTCGGCATGAAACTTCATTGGCCACAAACGACAGCAAACACGGGGTAAAGATCAGTTCAGAACGGGAGCCACTTCGCGCTGCCATACCGCCAAACGGCCAAACCGCAAGCCAAACCTGCTCGCCGAAGGCCTTCGGAACGCTTGGAACCGGTCGGATCCTCCAATCTGTACGACCGCCGCGCCGCTGCGTACATCCGGGACCTTTCTACGCTCGCCGCTTGTCGGCGCCTGATCCCACACCTTTCTAGTATGCGCCGCCTTTTGCATCACTTGGTGGCGGGTACGTCGGCGGGTCCTTTCTTGTTTCCGTACATTCTAAACTGCATTTGTTTCTTTTCTGGTCTAATATACTGAACAAAGACTACTTTTATAAATAATTGAAACGGTTCGCGCCACTTATATTTTGTATTTCGATTAAAAAGAAGCTTTTAGCGGCTCTGACCAGTACCCAGGAACAAAGACTTCACATATCGCGCGCTTTACTGAACAAAGAGAACAGACTACTTTATACTGAATATACTGAACAAAGGCTACTTTATACTGAATGTACTGAACAAAGACTACTTTTATAAATAATTGAAACGGCTTCGCGCCACTTATATTTTGTATCTCGAAAAAAAAAAAAAAAAAAAAGCTTTTAGCAGCTCTGACCATTAGTAAGGCCAGGACCAAAGACTTCATATAACTTCACATATCGCGCGCTTTCGGCACCGCGGGTCGCCTCCGTAGGTAATAATAATAATAATAAATCGTTTATTGAACAATTCTTGAACATAATTTTGATCGAAGGCCCTCACAAGTAAGCGAGGGCTTGTGTGCGGGACCGTGGCAACCCAACAGTGTGCTCAAAATAATTAAAACAATGCTGACACTAACATTTTTGCCAAGAACAGGCTTTGCATTAACACAGGCAAATTGGACAGCAAATGAAGGAACAGTATGTATACACCTAAACATGACGAGAGCACCACTCCTTTAATTTCTGTTTCGCGTCTTTCAGAGACGGCAGGTGGATGAGTTTTCCGCGTTGTCCGGGTAAAATATGACGCACTGATATTCTCTCTCCGTGCCCGCTGGCTTGCCCGAACCCCAAGAGACGTGGAAACCGCAAAAAAGGTAGACGCTTAATATGATTGCAGGGCCCCTTTAAAGAGACCGTGAAACAAGCCGCCAATCAGGAAACCGCATCACCCTTCTCGTGTGATTATCATGTTATGTCGTCGCATACGAGACGTCGTGTTCCAAAACGGCTACTGGCTGCTGTAATTTCTCTTTTTTTTTTTTTTTTTACTTTCTGCCGTGTGCTTTTTTTTATAGGCTTACGTTTTCTTTTAGCTTAACCACTGGTTTGCCTTACTAAGCGGATTATCCCTCGACCACAGATAATTCTTTCCTTGTCTTTTCTTACGGAATGAAGTCGCGCTATCGGTAAAGCAAAACAAAAAGGTGTGTGTGTGTGTGTGTGTGGGGGGGGGGGGGGTAAAGGAAGTAAAAAAAATTAACTTTTCCTTCTTTTTCTTTATTTTTTTTTTTCAGAAGTTTGTGCAAACAGTAACTCATTCCCAGCATGCTTCAAGAACGTGAACTGTTACTCTGGGCACTAATTGGCCAAGTGAAAAAAAAAAACAATATTTTGCAGATACATAACATTGCTTACGTGTAGGAGTGCGAAAGCAATCCTACAAGCAGCGCGCCACGTCTTCCTTTTGCACAGGCGCGGCACCCCCGCCGGCTCCACGGCTTCCGTGAGGATGCATCTGCGTTGCTGTGCTTTTCTTTGTGTTTTATTTTTGAATGGGAATTCAGGTGCCATTTCGCTCAGCCAATGGGAATTTAGGTGCCGTATTTCGCCGCTACAAACAACGGCTACTGACAACGCCGGCTTCGCTCCATGGGAGAGTTAATGCTTTCGCACAAAAAAAGTGTTTCGTGGTCCCTCCAATATTGAATTCTAAAAGCAGATACTAGAGATCATACATGCCCGCTTGAAGAGGGACCTACTGTATTCTGCCGAAATGTGTATTTCCCATAGAATATGTCATTACCATCTCTGATGAACGCTTGCCGAAAACCTTGAAACGCCACGAAAACTTCAAAAATTACGCGACCAATTCAAGCGTCACACTGAGCACCAGCCTTTCCAACAAGGGTGCTTCACCACTACAGTAGTGTCGTGAAGGTGAAGCCCGCTTTCAAAACACAAACGCTTTTTTTTTTCTTAAATTTCTAAGTACCGTTTTTTATTAATTAATTTTTTTGCTGCAAGGCCCGTGACTTTTGTGCCAATCTATTTTAAAGTTTTTCCAAACAAAAATATAACTCCGCCACAAAAATCGTACCAGGTCGGAACGCAAATAAAATTATAATGCCGAGGTAAAAAAGCCGTGAGACTCGTTACACACCCTACACCACACGACGTAGCCCATACTATGACACGCACCAGTACACTTGGAACGGTCGCTCGAACCGCTCCCCCCTCGGGTCTTGCCGCATTTATTTTTTTTTTTTTTTTATTTTTTTTTTTTTTTAAGTATAGCAGTCGACTAACGACGTATATATCGGCTTGAACCACAATGTAAAGTAAGAAAAAACAAGAAATCCCATTTCCCATCACAGGGGATTGCATTTTGTAATTGCTTCGCGTTAATTAAGTCCAAGCGCAAAGTGCCAGCGATGTTCCGACTGCGATGGGAAGACGTGGGGGTGCAATATTACCCGACAAACTGATCATTTTCAGCCGAACGACACGGAGTGGGATTACTAGATCGTCAATAAAATATCGCCGGCGATAAATTGAGCGGATGAAGTAATGACGACAACGGCCAGCATGGAAAGAGCGAATGATGACTTGCGAGGTATGTTTACACGTCACTTCAATATGGTAGCTTGAATTCCCCGCATCACGTTGACAACAACAGTTTCCTTCGGAAGTAATGAACCAGTGTTCATTTTTTGAAAGTGACGTGTTTGCTAACAAAACGCTCATTCCAATACCGGAGCAAATGAAATAAAACCAGTTTGGGACAGTAGGCACCGGGCATAGTGCTACAAACAACAGCTGTTCTCCAACGCTCTGGGTAAGGACGCGGACAAAACGACAGTGGCGCCATCTTCAGCCCCTGTTTGCAAACAGGCATTCACCTGATTCATGACCACACAAAGACGCGTATTCACAGCTGCATATAAGGAATGCTTGACGCTCAAAGACATGCCGTCACAACAATGATGTAAAGGATCTCATACACAAATCTGCGTAGCGTCATAGCTTCTCAAAGAAATCTCGCCTCGGTACCAAAACTTCCCCCTTCTAGTACACTCTAGACAGATGACCAAACCATGTTAGCCTCTAAAAAGCGAACATAATCTTTCGTCAGGACTACTCTTGCTTTTAATGGGCCAGTGTGCGCCAAACATTTAACAACAAGCGTGAAGGAAGCGGACTTTACTTGAAACATAAAGCCTCCACTTTAACTGGGTTACAGAACTGACTTCATTCGGTTTGTACAGGCAAAAGACGTTTTAGCAGACACAAATAATTTTTTGTTCATCCAACCGCAAAAATTCCGTACCTCAGCGTCAAATTAATGTTCACATGAAAAAAAAACAAAAAAACTGCTACTCAAATGTAGTGAGAATGTCATAAACAAGTAATATGCATACACAACAGTTAGTGCTCTACGTTATTTATTTACAGTGCAAATCTCTGAAGAACTGAGATGCTTGTATGCACAGCATCTATAACTCATGTAGACTGTGATCAGCAATACCAGGCTTTTAAGTATGATAATTAGGTGCTATGTCAGCAAGAGCTGATGCAATTTTCACTCTATATTCTCTTGAGAAAATCACGAGAGCAGTCTTTTCCAATTTGCATACTTAATTACTGCTCCAGGCAACGGACGTCCAACGCAACGCTCAATTACGGGCGCTGGTGCAACGCCCGTTTTGCTAATTCGTAAAGAAAGAAAACTATAAAAAAATCTAAATACAACGTACTACTCCCACTACTACTCCTACAAGAAAAAAAAAGAATGGTGGAAGACTTCATATAAGCTGAACTATGGTGATATGCAGAGACACACCGACGATCGTACGAAACAAACAGATATAAGCATCTTAAAGACATCACAGGTGCACTGTGCGCACGTCAAAACATGTAACAAACTTGTACAGCGAAAAAAAGATGCATGCAAGAGGCTCAACAGAAACACGCAAAGGGCATGCACCACGGATGCAAAAAACTGAAAGAGAAATCATTTCGGCGGTCGTGCGGAGCGCTCCGGGCTTCAAAGAGGAAGGCCTTACCTTGAGGTGATCGATGGCTGCGTTAAGGGACTGCTCGTCGCCATAGTCCACTTTGAGGGATGCCAGGGCAGAGTCGTGGGTCTTGAGCCATTTCTCCAGCTCGCCGGCAAGGTCATTCCAGTGCTTTGTGTAGCCAGACAAAGGCACGATGCACGGTGAAGATGCTGAGTATGTGACACTGTCAAAATCTGCAACCAAAAAGGCAGAACGCCGTTTTTGAGACATCACTCCGAGAACCCCTTGCTCTCGAAGCACGATGCTGACATCACCAAAACTTTGGATGGAAATTAGTATCTTGCCCCAAGGGGTGTCAAAAGCAATGAGGTTGAAAGCCGAAATAAAAATATTTAGAACATGCAGGATCGCCAGGCTGTTACTACTGGGTGTTACAGGCTCCATTTCACTGGATGTGTGAGGATAGTAAGAACTGCACTACAAATCTAAGTTTTGCATTGTACTACTGTTTTTGATTAGCTAAATTATCTGGCAACTAATTGGAGCAGCCGGCGCCATTCAAGGCTGCCAAATTCTCCATAGCACCATCTATTTTATTCCTCTTCTTCTGGCAACTGATGGTGCATTAGTTTAAATTAGTGTTTTTTTACACACTGAAAGAGCCATAGCATGAAAGCAAGTTATAGTTTTTATATATTTTAAATATAGAAACAATGTGTCACATACAATCGAATCTCCCTCTAGTAGCCAGTTTATCCCTGTCAGTATATTAGAAGGACACTTCAATTTTACTTCAGAATATCTATATGTCCACTATATCAGTCTACACTATAGAAAAGTTTTACTACTTTGTAACAAATCTGATACAAGATTCAAGGTTGTATCTTGTAATTACCTATACATGTGCATTTATCTGCACAACTGATATTCTCAAGAGTTGCAACAACAACAAAGGCCTAGACTTTGCAAAGGGCTTTCAATGCTGCAGAGATAGAAAGAGTTGTGCAACAGAGCCTTTATTCTTGTCATAAGGTCATTAGAGTCCCTACAGTCATACATACTTGATGTAAGACAGAGTCATTAACTCATTTACTAGGCAGACAACCACTTCCTCCAAAAACCAGAAATGTTTGTTTGGTAAAAAATATGTTGCCAATGAAAGAATAACAAGCCTTGCATTGCCCTAGTAGAAATGTGGTCATTGATATGAAATATGGTTGCATACCAGTTCAATTTACTACATACGTCAAGAGAATACGACAGTCAGTCGCAAAACCAAGGGAGTGCGTACCTATGACAAGTGACAGTGGCGGGCCAATCCTCGAAACGATCTGCTGGACGGCCTCCCAGGACTCCTTCAGGTGGTTCAGCTTGTTCCTCGACGATGGCAGCAACGGAAGAGTCTTCTCGATGTCAGCCGCCTTTGCTTCAATCTCTTGAATCGAATTACCGTGTCTGAGCAGAGTGTCCTCAGCAACCTGTGGGAAAAAAAAAACAATGTAATGACGCCATGAAGAAAGAAAACAATGACGCTGCGTAAAATTAAGACAATGTTGATTCTTTCTTGGGGGAGCTTACTTTGACTTCGGGAGGTTCGTCCCCAAGTAACTTGGCAGCCAGGAGCTTCTCCACGTCCCTGCGCGTTTCACTCAGCCTCTGCTGCTCAGCCACAATCTCCTCCTCAAAGATTGTCAGCTGCGGAATGTGCGACTCCATCCTCTTGCGCAAGTCTGGCAACTCGACGCTGGCCTGCAATCGTGAAACACGAAACAATATACAGTGTAGACCGCATATAACGTATATCTCGGGAGTCGCGGAAATCAGCACTATAAGCGGTACCGCGCTATAACCAAAACAACGATTTTTCAGGCCAAAATACATGCCATGAGACAACTCACCTTTGTAAAACAATTTATTTTATGTTAGATGAAAAATAAAGCTTAGTTTGAGGACAGTCTTTATTTCACCAGACTAGTACAGTTCTGTCTCAACTGTGCCACACATCTTGAAAGAAATGAGCGGCTTTTGCCTGGCGCAGCCTTTTAACGGCGTCGCGGGTTGCGGACGGACATTGCGAGCGTTCAGGATTGCTAACCCTAATCACTTTTCTCCGGAGATGAAAACGCGTGAAAATTTGCACCCTTCATACGGTACGCGCCAGTAGTACCTTGAACTTAAGCACACGCATGAAATGCGCCAAATAAGAAATCCGGGCGATGTTCGAGGACACAAATGCTTAGAAAGCGCCACTGTAGTCGAAGTAAACAAACATGACGACACGGGCGTTTTTGCCGTCTTGAGAGCGCCGCCGCGGCATCGCCGCACGAGTAGGTGGATCTTCCCTTCTAGTACGTGCTGGGTTGTCATAGCGACACACAATGAAAATTCACAGTCAAGGATAGCGCTTTTACGCAGAACGATGAGATGAACGCCGTCTACGATGATGATCACAACCGACACCATGTTTGCGGATAGAAGCAGCCGGCCCGCGACCGGCATGCAACGCGCGCAAACACTTCTCCTCGACCTGCAAAATGGTCTGTCGTTGCTGCTGTTCGTTTCTTTGTTTGCAACGCAGCGGAGGGACGCACGCACGTGAACGACACATGCGTGCGTCCCTCCGTCGCTACGGCAACTGCAGCGTCTCTCACCGCTTCTCCCCGCGAGTGCCCCTTGCGGCTCGCGCCGTCAGCGCCGTTATCTACTGTCGCACAGGGAAGCGTGCTCGCAGCTCCGGTCGTCGGTGCGGTCGGCGGGCTGTGCCAAAAACCGCACTATAACCGGTATTTTTACTTTTCCTTTTCCCTCACGTAATGAACGCATTTTCAATTTTCGGTTCCAAGAGTCTCAAATTGCGTGCAAATTAGCTAGCCACCAAGCCAATTTTCTTTTGACGCCAAGCAGTCAGGCCAAGTCAAGCCAAGCCAAGCCAAGCCACTCTCGCAATGGCTGCAAGCGACCGCAAGTGCATAGTTGCGGAAGTGATCAACTGTAAAACCGAGCGGCGCGCACACTTGACGAAGCTTGGGTCTAGGAATTGCCCAGCACCGGACATTCTTCGCCTATTGAATGCACTGATGTCAACAAACATGCCGTGATCTTTGGTCCACTTAAAGAGTGACGACCAGTTCACGCTTTCCCCTTTTCCCCCGCTTCCTCCTCTCCCCCTTTTTCCGCTGTCTACCATTGCCTGTTTCCTCCTCCCCCATGGTGAGGAGGATCTTCTGCCTTGCAGAATCTTGAGTCTGGTCATCGGCCTTTAAGGACGAGTGAAAGTGGTTAGGCCTAAGAATGGTTGCGTTGCCCTCCGCGCTGAGTGAGCTTCGTAGGGGTTTTTTCCTTTGGCAAAAGGCATGCCGAAAGAGCCCTAAAAAGGTTTGCAATTTAAAAAGCATGGCTACTGTGGCGTGCCCTCGACCAGTCGTGGGTGCACCTCCATCAGTGGGGACGTGGCACAGTACGTTGCCGTGTCATATAGCAACCTAATATGACATTCACACGAGGTGTGTAAATGGAAAAACTTTACCCCGCTTCATGAATGCCCCGCCCCCCAAATATGTGTAAATTTTTCGGGAAAATAAGTGTGTTCATTATGTGAGTAAATATGGTACGAGTACTGTGCAAACAAAGTAAATCCTTTTTAAGTTTTTTTTCTTTTTCGGTCACTTTAGTTCAGTCTTGGGATGTAACTACTTACTAGTAACACATTACCATTTACTTTTTTCAGTAACTTGTGACTGCAGCTCATTACTGCTTAGTGAAAATAACTTGTAACTATAACAAGGTTACTATCCTTTGAAAGTAACTGTAAAGAGTAACACCGTTAGTTACTTCTCAGATTTATGTGCAAACATATTGCAAACACAGCCACCAAATTGTCTTGCAACTCGTGAGAGAGTCCTGATATGGGAAGGGCACAGCAAATACTGCTGCAGAAACCGTCTGGAGCACTAGGGGCAAAAAAGAAAAAGAAAAATAATCTGAATTTGGGTGACCCCGCTTGGTGAAGCTGGTCCCGCCAACTGAGAGGTTGAGGACATTTGTGTCCCTGGCACGAAGAGCGGCATCTCTAAAGCATTTCTTTTTTCTTCGTCCGGCAAAGGGAGCCAGTGCTTTTTGCGGAAAACCATTTTTGGTGATTGTCGCCCCAAATGCCCGCAGGCATACAGCACAACCGATTTTCCAAACCTCGTCTTTTTGCAGCCAAGGATATGTTTCCTTCCCCCCTAATTTGAATCTTACAACTCACAGTTGCCCTCTTGCGGGGTCTCGACTTAAGCCCTATTTGCTCTCACTTCCCTTTTTTTGCAACCCGATCACCCACTTGTCCCCCATTGCTCTGCTTCTTGGGTCCCGTCAATTGAGAATGGGTATTCGCTCGAAACATGCATGTTATTCTGCTTGTTTGTGTTTTATTGATAGTGAAAGACCGTTGTTGTGGGCTTTAGCTGAGCAAATTTATTCATTGTTTGTGAATGGGGCCAGCTGAACATGAAAAACACACAGAGAAAAAATATAACATTCGCACTGCTAGACTAGCAACATTTAATGATGCCTCTCTTTTTTTCCTGCTAATCCTCGAATTCGGTTTTCTTTTTCTTTACACTAACTTAGATTTTTTAATTCTTTATATGACAAAAACAAAACAACAAAAAAAGCCATTCTGGAAATACTAGAAAATAACCAGCTAGGCAGTCTTGTCACAAAAGTTAAAGGATCGAAGAATAACCAATTGTCAGTCTTTTCTCAGACAAGACACATAAAGAGGGAATTCTGTTCCGGGCAATTGTATCAGAAAGAAAGGCTTGGCAAGCACAAATGTCAACATTTCTGGCCAAAGAACTGTCCCAAACGCAGGTACAAGACCCTTTCAAGCTTCCAAACTCAGAAAGTGTGATTTCCTTTTTGCAGGAAAATGGTTCTAACATTGCCTCTGGATTTTCCCTTGACATAGAACATATGTATTACTCCATCCCCCATGCAGGCCTTCTAAACATTCTTCGAGAAACAATTGAACAGCAAGGTTTCGCATCATTCCAAAGTGTGACTGGCATGTCCCTCGACAGCTTTTTGGAATTGCTAACTGTTTACCTGAAGGCGACGGTGGTGTCCTATCAAGATCAGCAGTATGTGCAGAAAAGAGGTGTTTGCATCGGGTCTCGAGTGGCATCATACCTCAGCGACGTGTTTCTCACAACATGCGGACTTGCTATCCAACGAAGCATGAAAGATCCCCGGATTGAAGTCATCTTCCGCTACATTGATGATTTTTTAATACTTTGTAACACGGATATAGAAGAACAAGACAACGGTTGAAGCAAGTATGTCATGAGGTGCTTTGAACAGAGCTGCTCAGGACTGGAGTTCACTTACGAACTACACGTAAACAAATCTATCAGATTCCTCGATCTTGCCTTAGACTTTAACGGTGGCGCCACATCTGCCGGCGATACCAAGCTCGGTCCTGCAAAGGGTTTTTTTCATTAGAATTCGGACACTCAAAGAATGTGAAACGTGGGGTCACCACCACGGCACATACAATCTGCCCTAAAAAAGTCATGCGAACACCAGATCCAGAAGAGTTTTGACACTCAGATATCCAGCCTACTTGATGCTGGGTGTCCGGAAACACTACTCATAGCAATATGTGCAAATATCTCCCAGAAGTTGAAGCGCGGACAGGAAGGCATCAAGCAAACAACAAAGAAAAAGACTGGAAATCCCATAGTGGTAGCACCATATCTCCATGGCATCACTCACCGGCTAAAAAAGATTGCAGGCCAGCAAGGGGTCCAAGTGATAAGCTCCGCGCCGAACAAGGGGTATTCAATGTGTGACAGGGTAAACGAAAACCAATGTAGGCACCAAGAGGCATGTAACATCGCACACAAAACAAGATACGCCCAATGTCGAAAAGAAGTCGTTTATAACATTCCATTAACGTGTGGAAGGTGCTATATTGGGCAGACAGGGCACTGTATTAATGATAGAACCAGGGAACATGCCACATCTCTACGAAACTTGACAGCAGCAGGACACCTTGCAGCCCATTGTCGCGCATGCCAATGCGAGGCAATGTTGTGCAACGTAAACATTGTGGGGCGACATAAAAATCAACTCGCCTGAGAACTACTGGAATCCCTAGCCATCGAAGAAAAGGCGAGGACTGTATTAGTGCCCCTTCCGTTGCACTACACAACTCAGAGAAGATGTTCCTGTGGAGTGACATGAGTTCCAGGCAAAGGTAGAAGAAGAGGAAGATTGCTTAAAGAAGACAGAAGAAAAGGGATGAGAGCATCCCGACAGCAGAAAGGTCAATGCGTTAAAGGAAAAGAAATTCCAAATTAAGTGTAAAAAAAAAAGAAAACCTAAATTGGGTGTAAAGAATTAAAAAATCTAAGTTAGTGTAAAGAAAAAGAAAACCAAAATCAAGGATTAGCAGAAAAGGAAAAAGAGATCATCATTAAATGTTGCCAGTTCAGCAGTGCAATGTTATATATTTTCTCTGTGTTTTTCATGTTCAGCTGGCCCCATTCACAAGCAATGAAAGACCGTCCTTAGCCGGGACTAGGGACACTTTGCATCAGTTTATTTATAGATATTCATGTTGCGGGCTTTCCGGGTGGTCTCTTCTAGTTGGGGCGGTAAGATGGAGGAGCGCAAACATGTCCTATCTCGTTAGGAAGTGGCCGAGAAAAGATTGAAACAGCCATTTGGAATTCTATACGCAGTGGTCATTTGTACCTTGA